AAAATACGGTGCCCGGATAAGCAAGAGTAGGGAAGGAAGGAAGGAGAATGGGATTGATAATACAGAATATGGCTTGTCGTCGCACGACCACCCGATCAGCCGAAAGGACTCCATCCGGTCTTTGTACACGGTACCTTGTGCTGGGTACGGGTATGGTACTATACTATAAAGCGCAGTTACCGTATAATACCCTTACTCTCGTTCTTGTGGGGCGGGGGGGTGTGGTTCGCCGGCACTTGGCAAAATCAACTTCTCCGCAAGTTAGTTTGTAAATTTACCCCTGCCTGGGTTGTGGATATCGGACAATTTCAAATAGTAATCTACTATTTATACGAAGGTTCGACGCAGAGCGCCTTACATGCGAGCGAATAGTAGATTACGTTGATTTTGTCACTAAAGGTGAAATCCGGGTCTAAAAGGTGGATAAGTTACATGTGCGCACACATGTGCAATTCTGGAGACTCCCTTCCACCGGAGGTATGATAAGGGTAAAAAAAAGAGAAAAAGGAAAAAGAAAAGCAGTTCATTGGGGGTAATGTGGGTTATCGCTCTATAAATACGGCATCCAATTAGCCCTCCTAAACTCAAAGTATCATACTTCGAGAAACTGCACCGTCATTGGTAGTCACTCGGAATGTGAGTTTAGGTATTCTGTGCTATCGTGTCATTCGCTGGTGGACGCTCTACTGTAACTTACTGTACAGGTACAAAGTACAGACCCGGGTTATTGCCACATTCTGGAAGCGCTTCTTGTTGATTGATTTACCCCCCGCCTCCCAACCATATTTGTCCTTGGTCGTGCCCGTGCCTCGGGTATTTAATTTCCGGCTCGTGATGTCCGCCGATTCGATGCTTGTGAAAAGGTTGGGGATAAGTTAGGGGGTAATTGGGAAAGCTCGGATGGGGATCAGGGTTTTTGATAGTGGTTTCGTGCAGTATGATTGAAAAAGGGAGTTATGGACCATACTCTGCCTTGGAGGTTGAGATGGGGTTGTGTGGTATTGTAGTGCCGTTCGCACGTTGGTCGGGCGGCTCGTTGGAGTGTTATTTATGACCGGGTTCTTTGATTTCTCTCTCCTTTTTCGCCTTGATTATGGTTAGGTGTACCGGTGCGGCAACTGGTATTTGTCTGCTGTTCGGATGCGTGCTGGGGATTGTTCGTATTTGGTGGGGTACCGTGGGATACGTCAATTTGCATACTGCGTTCAAGGGAGTTTCCACTGCGTGCTATTGTGTGCACTTGTCCCGGCAGGAGTAGTGAGTGCGCGGTGGGCTGAGTGTGAGTATCTAAGATACATGTACTAGTTTGGACGCGGATTGCTTTGTTTGGATAGTGAGGATTGTCCTTTCTTTCTTTCTCTCTCTCCTCTTGCTTAGATAGTAGTTACCTTATCGCCCTCTTCTAAGTTTGTTCAACTCTCGGGACACAAAGCGTAACATCCTGTTCCATTGATAGGGGTATTTTTACTACGAGTATCATAGCTGAGATGTTAGCCCAAGGGCTTCATGCCCCAGAGTAGTTTACCATCCAGGAGGCGTACGTAAGCTCACTCGGCTTCTTCGAACATCACAATGCCCCGTTTCGTAATGGCAGAGCATCCTAGTCATGTCCTGCTCTCATCAGAGTTCAACCCCCTGGGGCGTAAGGCGTATTATTAGCACAAGACGTACCGGTGGGCAGGAAGGATTCCGAGCAGAACTACCCGGGAGAAAGGCGGGTTTACTCACCTCACCCATCATCCTCTCCCTCTCCCTCTGGCCCTTCGGGAATCGACCGGGAAGCTTTCCGGGAAAAACACCCAGCTAAAGTTAACCCCTAAGTTACCCATCTTCACTCCTCGGGCCGAACATAAAAATTCAATAGGTTTGGATGGGGGTAAGTTATGGATCAACTGGCAGTCGCGAATGGACACAACACGCATCTCCGTTCGCCGAATCATTCCAGACATAAACAATGACGCGCCATCAATTTTCCTTCAAAAGTTTCTCCACCCACCCACCATCCCTCTTATGTTCAAGCGGGCGCATAACAGCACCATCCACAATAATTATTATCGAGTTGCCTACCAGCACTCACTCCCAACCCACCAGTTCTCACCAGCGGGTGATCTGCTGTGACGCAACACAAAGCCATGAACATTCCAGTCACATCGATACTTTCCGATAAATAGTCCCCTGTACCGCGGTTACCCTCTCGGATGGGTGAAATCCCAGAGCACGGTACCCTGCTGTCGAGTCTTTCTTTATCGCACCCTCCTCCCTCGCCCCAAGCTAACCTACCTATCACCTAGCTCATTACTGCTCGCACCCATGGGTGATTGATCGTGCTACGTGGCGGCCAGGTCTACCGTGTCCATCAGATAGCTCTCCGGAATGGTAATGCCCAAGACCAAGGTACTACTACTAGTATTCCCCGGGACTGTGATAGAAATGGGGATACCGTGAGATGAACACCTCGACCTATATAGCGAAAGCCGTAAGAAGAGTTGGATCGCGTAACATACGGTGGGAGCATGGAGACGTCCGATCCAACATTGGCGGTGTCCAGAAAGGAAAGGCTGCACCGAGGTGAGGGTTGAGGAAGTCTGGGAGAGGGGGTTACTAGGGTGCTCAACAGCATGATTCTCCTCGCACATGGCATTTCACGAGAGATGCGTGTTGAAAGTTGGTGCCTGGGTGTCACGGCGGAGTCAGACGCTCGTGTTTAGTATATGTAATTAAAAACAACTCCACCTTCACGCAAAGGATGGATGGCCGAGTGGTTATGGCGCTAGCTTCAGGTGCTAGTGGGGCAACCCGCGTGAGTTCGATCCTCACTCCATTCAATTATCTTTTTTCTTCTTTCACCACCCTCCGTATCTATTTTCTTCTCTTTCTACTTGGGGACGCCATCAAAGGGGGGGAAAAAAAAGCCTCCCGAAACCAGCGGGAAACTAAATACGTCGTGCGTGTTTAGTAACTCGAGGTATTATTTGTTGCTTGCTGAACAAGATTATATCTAGAGAGCAGAAAAAAAAAAAATAAGAAATGGCGTATTGTACAACCCCCCCCTAACTATACATAGAATTGCTTTTGAGTGTAATAAGATAGCACGTAAGGAGATGGTTGTATCACTGGTATGGGTGGAGAATTATAACTAGATGGATGGAGGAAGGATCAAGACTGATTGAAATAGAGAGTGACGACTCATGACCCTAAAGCATTACGGGAAAGATACGGGGGAAAAAAAGTTGACAGAAGAGGTGAAAAAAATAAAAATACGGTGCCCGGATAAGCAAGAGTAGGGAAGGAAGGAAGGAGAATGGGATTGATAATACAGAAGAAATACACTAAAAATGTGAGCGAAAAAAAGGGCAATGAAACCTCCATTAGACATAATAGAATAGTGCAGCACCGGAAACATGGCAAAGGAGACAAGTAGATTCTGGAAAGGTAGGGGTAAAAAAGAAGCGGGAGGCTAAGGTGAGAAAATATAAAAATAGAGGGATATTATTAGGATGGAAGGATCTGTCCCTCATCACTCGTGGCCAGCCAACCTTCGAGTAGAGTCCAGAGCCATTCCCATTGCTGCCATCTAGTGTGGCTCTGGCTCGGCCCACCCCAAACACCGCTAAGACAATGTGACCAACATGAGTTCTCGACCGACCAAAAGGGCCCCGCTTTGGATCGAGACCCATTGGCGAATTCCCAGGACTGCTGATCACTTCGCATGCGCAAGAAGATCAGCGAATTGTAGATGGCCAAGGTGAGCACAAGCCCTAGACCAAGGAAAGTGAGTATACCCCACGCAGCTCCTGGTTTGGGGCCCGCGCGGAGAATGGAAGCGACCGGAGTTTGGTGCGGACGGTGAGGAAGCGAAGGGGTGGTCAACTTGGCGCGTGTCCCGGGGTCATTGCTTGACTGGCGCTGAGTGGTTGCAGGTGGGGGGTCCACGTTATCATCGTCATTTCCCCCTTGCTCTGCCCGCGCCCGCTGTTCGTTGATGTAGTCCTGATAAGCATTTGTTCCGGGAAGTTGGTAGTCTGCGTCATCCAAACTAAATGCAATATCCCAAAGCTGCCTCCAGGGCCAAGCGAAAATTCCGAACGGGCTGTTGACACTAACGAGCCCAAAAGCCGCTTTCTCACCCCGTGCTGGCCAAGCTTCCTCCCGAAGGGTTCGGCGCGCAGCACGCTCCGCTTTTGAAGCAAGACCCCAAATTTCTTGAAGGATTACTTGATCGGGGGGTGAGCTTTGTTCACTAACAAAGTTGGTTAAGAACTCGACATCGGCAAGTGTGAGTCGTGGTCTATCAGCAAGATCCCTTAGATAGGCCCGGGTTTCGAGTGTGGTGCGGATACACTCGACATATTCACCATCTATGGCGGTGAAGCGAAATTGGCCTACCCAGGGCCCTCTTCCTTCTTCTGCCTGAGGGTCGCGCGGCCCCTCTCCGCGACGGCCACCACCACGGCGACCACGACGACCGCGACGACCGCGACCACCATAAGCACCACGACCACCATCGCCATCTCCATCTGAAGGACTGTCCCGATCATCACTGCCACCACCACCACCACTATTGCCCCGAGTGTTGCCCCGGTTTTCCGTTTCATCGCCCTGACCGCCCCTTGCCTGACTGTTCCTCTGACCCGCTGGCTTAGTGGTAGCATCAGATGTGCTAGGTTCGGTTTTCCCAGACGCTGCATCGTGGCGGCGGATAATCGATTTGGCACTCTGACCCACTGGAAGGCTTGCTGCATGAGCGGGGCCCTGGAGAATAGTTATGAGGTGACGATCATGCGGATCAGATTCGGGTATTAGGGACGAGCCCCCCCCAGTATCTTGTCCCCTAATACCGGTTATACCGAGATCGGAAAGGAGTGGCGAGTCTAAAAACGCAGGCATGTCAGCTTTACTTTGGTGAATCCCCCTGCCTGGGTACATACCGGTGCCCTTGTCCCTCCCAGATTGTGAAAGGAGGGTCAATTGTTCAATCTCTGGGAAATCTTTGTAAACCTGCTCCAATGACTCATATCGGGGCATTTCGGGCAAAATATCTTTAACATTCTGTAGGTTAATGGGTCGGAAATGCGGATAATCCTTGAAGACATCTTCAAGAGAATCATAAAGGCCCATGCCCTGGGGTTCTTCGGGCTCAAAGCTTCCAATTTCTTCGCCAAGACGTTTTCCTGTAACCCTAAAGCTCCCCTTCGGCAGCCTATCGGCGGCCCTACTTTGCGATTCCAATGCCCTACAGTCCCCTTTGATTTTGTTGACTTCCTTTTCCAGGTTCTCAATCCTCATATCCCGGTCCGCGATGTCTCCTTCCTTAGTACTGAGTTCTTCCTCTTTGGCATTGAGCTCTGTCTGCAGCTGCTCCACCTCGCGAATAGAATTTTTAGCTTCACTAAGCAGCTTTTCGTTCATTCGTTCCATATCGGTGAGTTTGGCCCTCTCGGCTTTCATAGCGTTGACTTCCCGCTGCAACAGTGATTGAACTCCTTCTCTCCTCCTGACCTCTTGTTTTCGAGAGTGCTCAAGTTCTTCGATTCGGGTCTCTGATTTGGCAATCTCATCCTCCATCGTTCGTATCATAATAGTACCCTTTGTATATTGCGACTCGAATTTTTTAGCCTCCTCGGCCAACCTTTCCTTTTCCTTCTGCAACGCCTGGTTTTTGTTCTCGATGGTATCGTACCTCTGTTCCCAATAAGCTACAAGTTCGGTGTATCTTTGGTTGGCCCGATCAAGCTTTCTATCACCTTCCTCTAGCCGTCTCCGGCGAGCCTCAAAATCCTCCCAAAACTGACGGAACTCTTGAAGAATGTCCCTAAGATTTTCAACTGTTAAACCTCTTAATGAGGCTGGCTCCAAGGACATCTCAAGCCACATTGGGTTCACAACCAAAGGCCTGCCCTGCTGCCCCTTACTCTCCTCGGTATCCGTGCCCCCCCTCTGGTTTAAAATTGGCTCCTCCGGAGCCGGACCTGACCCTGGGAAGTTGGCGGGTTTTCTAGCTCTAATGGGGGTACTGGAATCAAGTGGTGGACCTCCAATAAGCCCCGTCGAGTCATCTCCAACACTATCGTCACCTTCAGTGTACGGCCTGGGTGAGCTGTGCAAAGCATTGAAAAGGGAATCTTCTTGCCCAGTGGGGTTCGATGGCGACCTCCTTGGGGAGAATCTTGGGGATCTGAGAAGACCTCTACCAAGGCCCTCAAACGTAGGATTTCCAGAAGCAGATGTATCAATACTGAGTGGAGATTGTTGGTGGTTGGCCGACCGCTCTCCTTGACTTGTGCTCATGCTTTGGAGCTCGGTCAAACGATCAATAAGCCCAAATCCAAGCATTTTCTGAACCATATCCTCAAGCTGAGTTGGCGTTAGGTCTAAGGCAGGGGCGTCCTTCGTGTTTTTAATAGCCTCTTCTATCGCTTCTCCAATATCCGATTCGCCTTTTGCACAGAGAATTGAGTATTTGGTACTACCGAAATATTGCTCAAGATCACGAAGAATCGCAACAACATCACGTACTGGCACCTATTATGCGGTTAGCAAGGAAGTGAGAAAGCAGCAAGCATTAAAATGTATCGTTTACTAAGCCATAGGGTAGCAAAATTCGAGGCGGAGTAATAAACTTACGGAGCCTGTATCAGCGGGATCATATTTACTGAATGTGGTTGCATAAAGCTCTCTTGCGTTAAAAGGGCGTGGTTCTTTATCCCCCCCGAAAAAGTCCCCCGTGGCTGTTGTGTCTGACTCCATCTCAGACGATGAAGCCGAGCTGGTTGAAATACCGTCCTGGGACCCTTCTCGTTTTTTCAACCTTTTCTTCCGATTGGAGGGAACCGGTATTCTCGCGGGCGATCCTGTCGCGGAGACGGACGAGTTGGGCCTTCCAGGGAATTTCGATTGTGCAGATGTACTCCGACGTAAAGTAGCTGAATTACGACCGTTGACCGGACCCGGTGGTGACGGTCTTGATGCCCTTGAGAATCCACCTGAGCCTAATCCAACACTGAGTCCAACACCTGTCGTCTCAGTGTTATTCTGGTTATTACTGCTGGTATTGACTTCGTTGCGATGCAGGGCAGGGCGAGTGGTGGTAGAGGTTTGCCGATTAAAAGGCGCAGGCCGTGGTATGGAACTTGGTGGTAGTGCTGATGATGTTGAAGGGCTGGGAGTGGTGGAGGAAGGACGGGGTTTTGATGGATCTCGTCCAGCAGCGGCTTTCAAGTCGCCTGTCGATTTCCGGACTAAGCTCGACATAACTTGAAGTTCTTTGTTTCAAAAAGTATGTTGTTTTGTTGCGGTTTTGTGGATGGATGAATTGGTAGACAAAGGGTAAGCTTTAATAAAGTGCTTTGTTTACTTGCACCCACCGGTGGGATGAGGGTAGTGTCGAAGGTGCCACTGAGATCAGTACGAAAGAGGAGAGGCGCCTGTGAGGTTGTCGAAAAGGCGACTTAATTTCCGAAGACACTCAATTTTTCCGATTTCTTTCCCTTCCTCCTCTCCTTGTTCCCTTTTCGGCCGGTGGGGAGCAAGACGAGACGAAATAGGGAGAGGGGGCTAGGGAAGTCTGTCTCGATATGAGGCTTGTGTAAAAAAGCACCTGCAAGTGCAGCTCTAGACGCAGTTTGCTAGCGGTTGTGATTGTTGACCATCACAGGCGACAGATGGTAGAGGGGCATCACTAGTGTGGGCGAAGCTTTAGTCAAGCAGGAGATTCCCCAGAAGTCGCGATGTTTTGACCAAGAGAACCCCTAACCCATCGCCCTCGCCAAGACTCTCATGACAATGCGTGATTGCCCACATATTTTCCTATTTGGGATGCAGGAGG